TTTCTGGTCTCAAAAGCAGGTTTCTTGCACACAGAAACCCTACCTGACTTTCCTCAGCAAGGATCAAGATACAAGTACAAATTGTATAAATGTGCGCAGAATACATATTGATTCATATGGAGGAAAACCACATGTGGGTTGCTGTGAGTTTTCTGATTTGTATGGCCATGTTCCAGAAGCATTCTCTTCTGATGTTTCATCCACATCTATGGCAGGCATCCTGAGGTTGTGAGGTCTGTTGGAAACTAAGCAAGTGAGGATCCTGGGGCTTAAAGTTTGGTTAAAAAAAAAGGCTAAAGACCTTGTAACATGACAGCTCCCGTGACTCCATACCATTGAACCGTGGTGTCAAACTGCATAGTGTAGATCAGGGGTCCTCAAACTAAGGCCCGGGGGCCGCATACAGCCCTCCAAGGTCATTTACCTGGCCCTCACTCAGGGTCAACCTAAGGCTGAAACGACTTGAAAGCACACAACAACAACAATCCTATCTCATCAGCCAAAAGCAGGCTCACACTTCACTTTGAAATACTAATAAGTTCATATTTGTTAAAATTGCTCATCGTTTTAATTATTGTATTGTTTTTAAGTTTTTAAGCACACTACAAATAAGATGTTTGCAGTGTGCATAGGAATTCATTCATATTTTTTTTTCAAATTATAATCCGGCCCTCCAACAGTTTGAGGGACTGTGACATGGCCCTCTGTTTAAAAAGTTTGAAGACCCTTGGTGTAGATGCACCCTCAAACTAACCTAGGATTGCCATGTGTTCCCTTTTAAGAGCTAAAGTTTCCACTCTCCAGTTTCCCATGGATGTCTTCCCCCCACCCCCCAAAAAGCTAAATTTTCTGTCTAAATAAATTTTGTAAATGTCTGGGTTTCTTTGCAAAGTCTAGACTGGAGGAAGTGGGCAGTTAGGTATCTGAGCTCTGGGAAAGAAGAAGATATACCAGATCAAGGAGGTCAAGGAAAGTCCCCCAAAACAGCCCATGGGTTTTCTGAGTGACTCACCGGCTTTCAAAAAGGTCAGGGCTTCTGCTTCCATTGTCACCTGGAACAGCTCTTTCTTCATCCTCAAGAAGCCCCCAGTGGTGCAGTGGGTTAAACCCTTGTGCCGGCAGGACTGATGATTGACACGTTGGAGCTTCAAATCCAGGGAGAGTGCGGTTGAGCTCCCTCTATCAGCAGCTCCTCATGCAGGGACATGAGAGAAGCCTCCCACAAGGATGTTAAAATATCACAACATCTGGGCATCCCCTGGGCAACATCCTTCCAGATGGCCAATTCTCTCACACCAGAAGCGACTTGCAGTTTCTCAAGTTGCTCCTGACATGGAAAAAAAAAATCCTAAAGGAAAGCCCAGTTAGGGAGAGCAGGAAAGTGCCTGGCTTCCAACTCCAGGGTTGGCATCCAACCTCAAGGGAGCACTGTCTTCTCTGTTGGCTGAGGACCGGTGGCTGCCCTTATCAGGGCTTATAGGAGATCTCGAATCAGTCTACACTAGGCCCTCTCCATTTGCGAGGGATACGGGCACAGAATGCACATGAAAATAGGAAAATAAAAATATAAATATTGTCGAAGGCTTTCGTGGCCGGGATCACTGGGTTGTTGTAGGTTTTTTCGGGCTATATGGCCATGTTCTAGAGGCATTTCTCCTGACGTTTCACCTGCATCTATGGCAAGCATCCTCAACTACCTCTGAGGATGCTTGCCATAGATGCAGGTGAAACGTCAGGAGAAATGCCTCTAGAACATGGCCATATAGCCCAAAAAAACCTACAACAACCCAAAAATATAAATAGCTATTGCAAACACAGTCTATTTACCTGGGAAACCTTTCTCCGGGCAATTGTTGGTGATACTAACTAACAATTTCATATAGACGTAATGGACAAGGATTCATTCACTGGGAAACTTAGAGAATAGGATGTTTGAAATGGGTAGGGAATTTGAAAACTTCTCTTCTATAAAGAAAAGAAGAAAAGACTAAAAGAAGAGAATCTCACTTATTCTATCTTTCTTCTATTATAGTTTTTTTGTGCTAATCTTTGGAATAAATGCACTATTGACTGCTCAGTGGTGTTGCTTCCCTGGCATTGTCTAATCACAGGTGTATTTATTTATTTATTTATTTATTACTGCGCTTGTATACCGCCGTTTCTCAGCCTACATTGGCGACTCAACGCGGTTTACAACATTACAATAATCAACAATATTCAATAATCAACAATATTATCCTCTTTAAAACACAACCATCTGAAACCTTCGCCTGTCTTTTCATTGTAAAGGCAGCCCCCTGCTTCAGATGGTGCCAAATTGAGCACTTAAGGAAGGAAGAGTGAGTCAATCATTTTCTGAGAAATAAAAGAAAGGCAGGCCTACAGATTATTAATAGCAGTCCCATTAAAATATGATAAATGGGGGTGGGGTGCTAAATGCATTAGGTGTTAGTTTCCATCAACATTTCTTCACTTCATGAATATAACGTGGCTGACTGATAGACTGGGATTCTGCAAGACCAAGGTTCAAATGCCCACTCAGCCTTGGAAACTGTTGCGTGACCTTGGGCAAGTCACAGCTTTCAACCCCAAAGTAAAGTCATGACAAATTGCTTCTGAACAAACCTTGTTAAGAAAACCCAATGACAGATGCCATTCATTGTACTTAGATAAAGATTTATCCTGACATTAAGTCTAGTCGTGTTGGACTCTGGGAGGTGGTGCTCCTCTCCATTTCTAAGCTGAAGAGCCAGTGTTGTCCATAGACACCTCCAAGGTCATGTGGCCAGCAGGACTGCATGAAACGCCGTTACCTTCCCGCCAGAACGGTACCTATTGATCTATTCATATTTGCATGTTTTCAAACTGCTAGATTGGCAGAAGCTGGGCCTAACAGAGGGAGCTCACGCCGCTCCCCAGATTTGAACTTCCAACCTTTCAGCAAATTTTTCAGTAACCTTTCAGCAACCTTTCAGCAACCTTTCAGTCAGCAAATTCTGCAGCTCAGAGGTTTAACCCACATTGTACTTAACAACAACACAAATTATATTATTATTTTATGTTATATTATATCACAAGCCTTCGATTAAGAAAAAAAACATGTTCAATATTGTAGTTATTTTTATTTATTTATTTTTGTCGTGTCAGGAGCGACCTGAGAAACTGCAAGTCGCTTCTGGTGTGGGAGAATTGGCCGTCTGCAAGGACGTTGCCCAGGGGACGCCCAAATGATTTGATGTTTTTATCATCCTTGTGGAAGGCTTCTCTCATGTCCCGCATGAGGAGCTGGAGTCGATAGAGGGAGCTCATCCGCCTCTCCCCAGATTCGAACCTGCGACCTGTCGGTCTTCAGTCCTGCCGGCACAGGGGCTTAACCCACTGTGCCACCGGGGGCTCCTTTTTAATGTACTTTGGGGTGCTGAATGTGAAAACCACAATAAAAATGTCATACACAGTTCTTTCACAAATCAAACTATTAGCTTCATTATTGATTTCATTCCGTCACATATTGAAACATAAAGCTTCTAAGCAAGTTGTAAAAAAAACTCTATGCAAGGGAGCAAATCTGAGGAAGTCATTTTGGATTTAGAACATCAAATTCTTATAAAACCAGGATACATCTTTAAAACCACATTTTGATGAGCATCAATTTTGCAGACCTATGTTATATATGGCCTCCATATCCATGGAAGGGGCATCCAAAGTTTATTTTATGCAAATCCAACAAAATATGTCCTCTTCGGCATTGTCTAAGTCCTTCAGTGAGACTTTAGGGTATTTTTGGGCCAAAAGTCATTCATTTCAAAGGATTTTGCTGTTACCCATGGTTTTCCATATCCATGTGAAGTCCAGGAACGTATCCAGGAACGTATCTCCCGTACGCTTGCTTCCTGCACCCTCTAATCCCAGCCAAACTATATGTATGTAAATAACAGAATTATACTAAAGTCTTTAGTAACATTTAATCATGTAAAGGATGTGCATGATGGCCTACCGATAAAGGGGAGTAAAAACGAAAGAATGAATGGCTTTGTTCAAAATATATTTGCATTTCTAGCAGAGCTAGGAGGCCATTTCAAGAAACAGGTTTTAGGTATCATTATTTTATTTATTTATTGTGTTAGAAGTGAATTGAGAATACAGTTATGTATAGAAAAACTACAAAGTTAAAAACTTGGCATTATACCAAATTTCCTTTGACTAGAAGCTGTCCACTTAGAGTGCCTCCTGTGTCACTATGGGAAGGTCCTACGTTGTAGATGTGGCGGGGCTCAGGTTGCATAGCAGGAAGTGGTCTGTGGTTTGCTCTTCCCCACACTCACATTTCATGGACTCCACTTTGTAGTGTCTTCCAAGTCTCAGTCTTCTGTGTGCTCATCTAGTATCAGCCACTGATTGAGATTCTGGGTTTTAGCCTGCCACTTTTGGACCCTTGCTTGCTGAGGTGTTCCTACGAATATCTTGTAGCTCTTAGAAAGCTGTTTCTTGATTTAAGATGAGAACACGGGTTTGCTGGTTGATATCTGAACAGAGGATGGGCATCATGAAGGAGCATCAACAATATGGTTATTTAATTACTATATGTCCTTACTGTCAGAAATGGGAAGATGTATAAGGGATCTTTTATCTCAAATGCCTTTTTTGGTCTATGAGCATTTACATTTGTGTTGCCATTTACTATTCTATTTCAGACAATGAATGCTTCACCCTGGAGTTGGCTTATAACAAATTTACACTTTTATTTTAATCATATACTACTCGAGGGGCAGTTCTTAGTAGGAAAACGGATAGCTGTTATCATGGTTTGCCTCTCCTTCAGGCTTGATCTGAAGGTCACACTGTCAGTGGATGCTTTCCATAACCTCGTTATGGGCGTAATGGTTTCATTAAGACTGGAATTTCACTGAAAGACACGGTACAGCACTAACAGAAGACTTGTGCTTAATGCTACATTAACAATAGTCTCTTCCTTCTCTCTATTTTTTCCTTCGCATGTCCAGAGGCGGAACACAGCCCCAGTCCGGCGCATTGAACATTTGGTAAGACTTCATTTTCTGCTCATCTTGTCAAACTATCTTATGATTTTTGCTATCTGCAGTAAGTATGGGAATGTATTGCCCATGGGTACAGTAATATGTTTATTTCTTTGTTTTTGTCATTGCACATATTTTCATATATTCATATTCATTCTTTTCACAACTCCTTTAAAACTATGTTAGGCTCAATCAGTATTTCCTAAAGACTATTTGTGTCACTGAATAGTTTTTATTATAATTGTTGGTTTTCAGTCTCTCTCATGTTTTGAACTTTTTCTTCACTGTTTCTGTGTGAAAGAGTTGACCTTATAGTCTCTACCTTGATGTCACCGCTTCTTCTCTGATACAGGCATTCTGGAAAATGGTACCCATCTCCCACACAGAAATCCCTGAATTTATAATGTGCTGTTGTCTTTGCTCATACAAATAGGAAAAAATGCAAGTCCCAAACTGGAATACTATTTGTAACTGTGCATTTGTTCCAGAACGAATGCAAATCACTGAATTTCACAATCAGTCCAATATTTCAATATCAAAACACACATGTAATATTCAAGGAATGGGGCTATTAAATTATTTGATTCATTTCTGGTTAGAGTTCAGCTGTGATCACTCCAGTTTGCTTTTTAACTCAAGCGATTAAAATTCAGGAACCATTTCAGCTGCTTCCAGAACCATTTAAGTTCCAATTCAAACAGAGCAAATTTGAATATGAGACCCATTATTTGCAAAGTGATCTGGAGCAATTTCATGGGCCTAACTAAAGCATAGGTCATAAAGTGCTCTGAAATATGCATAAAAATTACACCTACTATGTAACTGTAACATATTTTTTACTATTGCGATTGTGTTTATTGCAATATTATTTTGTTACTGTATTCATATGTTTTTTAAGTGTAATTTTGATGATGTTGTTTGTTGTTTATGTTTTGGTTTTATTTTGCTGTAATATGTTGTCCGGGCTTGGCTCCATGTAAGACGCTCTGAGTCCCCATTGGGGAGATGGTGGCAGGGTATAAATAAAGATTATTATTATTATTATTATTATTATTATTATTATTATTATTATTATTATTATTATTATTTACAGTGGCATGAGACTTTGGCCTTTGCTGTAGGTGCCTATAGGAGAAATGTCAGCCTATAAAAAAGAGATGTCTCTCCTGTTTAAAGAAGGGAAAGTGTCAGATAATGGTGCTTAACTCGGTTGCCATCCAGAGAAGTGCTCCTTCAACTCATTCACACTAAATGATTATCGCTATATGATCTCACTTTTTGTCATGGCCACATCCTATTGAATCCTGGGCTTTGTAGTACAATCCAATGAATTATAGTGGTGTCCTGTCTGAGGTTTCCGAAGGTCTCTCCACCACCTGCCTAGCTTAGGATTCCATGGGATGTTGTCATGGCATTTGAAATGGAATCATAGCATTGGTATTTTGTGGTGCGAATGGGTCCCTTGAATTCTTAGGACTCAATATGCTTTGCTCCACCCTTCTCTTTCCTAGTTGGGAAAATTTTAGAGAATAGAGTACAAAATTAAAAGCAACTTTGTGTAACTTTGTCAAATCTGAATTCTGAGTACAGTTCAACCCCTTTATACGTACATAGACACAATATCTATGGGTTCACCAACCTGAGTCCCTTTGGGGAGATAGGATGGCGTTTAAATAAAGTATCATTATTATTATACTGACACAAAAACACAGTATGGCATAGCAAACAAGATACATATAAATGCTGGATTTCATATTACAAAATCACAAGTCGAACACTTCCCAAGCGTTTCGGACTGTGTGATGTATTTTCGAATGATGAGCACAGATCCAAGTGTTTGTGGGCTTCTCTATGTTTTCCAGTCATTTTGATGGTATGTTTCCAGCCCAATATAGTCAAAATACAGGGTTCACCAGCAGACTTCCTCTTCTGATCTGTATAGTGGATATAGGAGTCATACTATTGAGATCAGAAGAGGAATTCTGCTGGATCAAGCCAAAGACCTCCCTGGCCCCACATCCAGTTTCCAATAGTGAGTGACCATTTTCACTACAACCCCACAAAGAGGATATGAGTGCATTCTCACATTCCCCAGTATATTTGGACACATAGCTAGTTTGTGATACAGCTTTCTTTGTTCTAGTGAATATATTGCAACATTTGTCCTCCCTGCTGAACTTGTATTCTGAATTAGTCTGACTCTCTTTCACAAAACATTTAAGACAGAGTTTCAGTGTGGTGGTTCATGTTCCATACTTGTTCAAGTGAAAAGGATTGGTTAGATCCTTGGTGGCAGGTATAATGCATTTTAGTCAGTGTTGTATCTTACAGCAGTTCACAGATGAAACTCAGGATGTCTGTGGCTGAGCAGCATCAGAGTGAGGTCAAAATGGCAAATGTTATTAATGCAAAGGAGCCCCCAGCGGCACAGTGGGCTAAACCGCAGAGCTACTAAACTTGTTGATTGAAAGGTCACAGATTTGAATCTGGGGAGCGGCAGGAGCTTCTGCTGTCAGCCCCAGCTTCTGCCAACCTAGCAGTTCAAAAATATGCAAATGTGAGTAGATCAATAGGTACCCCTCTGGCAGGAAGGTAACAGCGCTCCATGCAGTCATGCCAGCCACATGACCTTGGAGGTGTCTACGGACAATGCCAGCTCTTCGGCTTAGAAAAGGAGATGAGCACCATCCCCAGAGTCGGACATGACTGGACTTAATGTCAGGGGAAAACCTTTACCTTTTACCTATTAATGCAAAATAACACACAAACTAGGAAAGGTTGCAGCAGTTCGTTTTTACCTGAGCCAACTGGAAAGGGCAGGATTCCTCCTTCCTGCTCCCTTCCCCTTGCCAGGTTAAATGACTACAAATTACTTCACTTTCTGAGCAGTTTACAATGACTGAAGAAGAAAGGAGAAAAGTTGGAAGAAGAGAAAGGAAATGGGACATTGTAAAAACAGCTGAAAAAGTGGGACAATGGATTGTTCCTGGCAAATCAGCAGGGTTGTCGGATATGCAATTTAACTTTTAGTATGTCTCCTTGCAGACAATGGAGACAAAGGGCATTGCAAACGAAATAAAGACTATACTATATTGGCTGCTCATGTTGCATAGCTTTGGAAGCAATCATAATTCTTAACATTTGTATCATTCTTTTGGAGTGCTCACAGCCCTTCAAATATATTGTTGTAATCCTTACCACTGCCCTTTAAAGTGGGCCAATATTTTTGGCATCATATTTCAAGTGGAGATCCAAAGCTCAATGCGTCCGCAAGTTTGCCCAGAATTTGGCAAAGATATTTTTGGACGATAGATACCAAAATCCACCAACCGACATGTGGCTATGCTGTCTTTCTGGTTTATATAAAGTAACTTTTCCAAGCTCTGAGCTTGCCAAAAGTTAACCAATGTGTGAATAGCATGATTTAAACCAAGCTTTCATGATTCATAGCTCAGGGGCAAATTACATAATACTTTATCTGCCTTACCCTCCAAAAAGGAGAAAACAAACATACTTAAACTGGCAACTTTTCTTTTGAAGGCCATGGGAATCTTTGATCCAGAATGTGTTCCCAATTTGGTTTTCCTTCCAATTTCCCACAACCAGTCCCCAGTTGTTATTTGCTCCCAAGGTGCTATTTGCAGTAGAAAATATTTTTTCCATCTGCATAATAGTTTGACAAGGAACATGTGCCATATTAAAGTTCTGCATGGCTTTCTCTACCAAAATAGAAGTAGCCCATTCAAGCATGCATACTTAGAAACATGTGTATCTCAATTATATAATAGTGAATAATGTTTTGAACATTTGTAATCTGCTTTTCATTATCAAAAGAATCTCAGAAGAAGGGGCAGTGCTATGAAAATACCATACAGTCATTAGTTGCCTACATAAAATAAATAAATAAAATATATTCAAAAGAGCAAGTATATAACCAAATAAATTACAAAGTCCAGCAACACTGATTTAGTCCCATGTTTGCTTGAGGTTTTCAGTTTACGCTAAAAGTTTCTAAGGTTCAGTGCAATTGCATTCAAGCAGAGTTTAGTTCAAAGTTTTTGTATGAGAATTAAATATGTTAACTGTAGCACAGCAAGTTTAGTAAAGTTCAGGCAGTGCCCGATTTACAAATATCTGACTTAAAAATGTGTCATAGTTAAAATGGGGTAAGACAAGAGGAATTGAGAGAAATCTGCCTCTCAGAAGGAAATTTACTCCTGAAAGAATTGTCGTAGGAAAAAAGAAGCCTGCACTGAAGCTTTATCACCAGGCCTTGTTTCCACAACAAGCCTTATTTTTTTCAAAATTGAGTTATCACAGGGACAGAAAGTGAGGTGAAATCTTCTGAACAGGGCCACAGACAGCAAAGCAGACTCCACAGTTAACCCTTCCCCATGCTACCCATAGCGCTCTCTCTCTCTCTCTCTCTCTCTCTCTCTATATATATATATATATATATGGCTGGAGTTACATGTAGAAAATATGCTTGTTCCAAGGTTGTTGTAGGGTTTTTTTCGGGCTGTATGGCCATGTTCAAGAGGCATTCTCTCCTGACGTTTCGCATGCATCTATGGCAAACATCCTTAGAGGCAACTTCTGAGGATGCTTGCCACAGATGCAGTCAAAACGTCAGTAAAGAATGCCTCTAGAACATGGCCATACAGCCCGAAAAAACCTACAACAACCCAGTGATTCCAGCCATGAAAGCCTTCGACAATGCTTGTTCCAATTTATATACAAATTGAACTTAAGAACAAACCTACAGAACCTACCTTGTTCATAACTTGGGGGCTGCCCGTACTGCACAAGAGAATACAATATCTCTTTTCCATAACAATATAACTGGTAAACCCATTAAATTTGTTACATGATGTTTCTTTATTGCTTCCCAAGTGTTTCTTGTGGGAGGAATTTTGCATGTATCCTATTTCTATTATCAAAGTTAAAATAGGTTGACTTTGTATCCTGCCTTTGATGAATGGAATTGATAAAAAAATTAATGCAAA